AATTTTTTCAGAAGGAAAACAAAGACTTGGTGTTCTTTCATAATTTTTTTTGCAACTGCAAACATTATTTTTATATATATATATATATATTTATGGTCCATGTTATATATATATGTATAGGTATTATTATGCTAGTGAATTTCACTGGTGAGAGTTCATCTGAATCTTTTCTTCTGGTAATACACCTTCTTCTGTCCTAGGTTTCTAACCTTTTCACCATAAGATGCAAAAAGTGCCTAAAAGTGAAGTGTTAGCAGCTTACAGGTACGTTTCTCTGTTCTGCTGGTTGTTTTTTCACACCCGCCTCCCCCCCCACTCCCATTGTTATACTGAAGTAAATATTTGTCAGATTTTGCTATAGAAATTCAGGTTTAATCCACCACAGGCACAAAATACTTTCTAACAACATTAGTGTCCCCCAGAGTTGAAAGGCCGCGTCGTTGATACAGCATCTTGGGAAGGGAAAAAGGAAAATATTCAGATTTATTCTAGAGTTCTGCACTGTCTTTAGTGGGGCGTTTATTTATCAGGGCATATATTTAGCTACCTGCACACCCAAATCCCTAGTCTGTGCACAGCACGATGAGATTTACTGCACCTGCCTGCCAGGATAACCTTTGGCACCTGGACTTCCATCTGGTCCTCGTTCGCCCTTTGGAAAGAAAAAAAGAAAAGGCACAGAAGGTAAGGTGAATGTCACACTGGGGACCCCTTTTTAGCTGCTTCATTCTTTAAACCGGGGGGAAAGGAGAGTGGAATGGATTTACCTGATGTAAATTCACAGAAAGGAAGAAAATATTAAGGGTAGACAGTGGAATAAATTAATGAGGGGGGGGAAACACACAGAAGCCAAGTCAATAGGATCCATGCATTAAGCAAGTGTTGCTATTTCTCCTTCTCCCTCCCTTTGCAGTGAAAGCAGCAGATAGTTTGAAACAAGGAGGCTAAGAGAAGGTGTAAGGCTGCATCTATATCTGGCATATGGAACTGTTTTACTGGTGGGGAAGCACTGCCAAAATTCTTCAAAACTAAATGGATTCATGTATAATATCCTTTAACATCATTGCTAACAGGGCCTGCTATTCATTGCCTTTTTTTTTTTCTTCCCTGAACTGCAAACATCAGACTTAACCAAATAAAGAGGAGGGAGAAAAGGGGAGAGGGGGAATGGGCTTTGGGAGGGGAATTACATGTTAGTACTTAATACGATGTGGTTAGTAAACTCCAGGTGAAATTAATGTAAAAGGAAAAATAAAGGGGGAGTAGGGTAAGCTGGCATTTCTTCCACCATGTAAACTTGGTTGAGCAATAAAAAAATATATAAATTAAGTTTAGAAACTCTAAGGCTGTCTCCTCCCACCGACCTGCTGCTGCTCTGTCAGTGTACGTGCACAGCTGCCGGCAGCACGGGCGTTCACTGCGCATCGCCCAGTGGAGCAAGCAGCCCCTGGAAGGAGCTGGCTGTCCACACTGAGCAGGCTGGACAGGATCCAAACGAGCATCAGAGTCAGCAAATCCATCCCTCTTTAAAGGTTCAGTGTTGGAAACTGGGAAGACTCACCTGGTCTCCAGGGTGACCTGGTGGTCCGGGGTAGCCTTTATATCCCTGTTGAAATAGGATGGAAGAGAAGATTAATAATTTAAAAAAAGAATAATGAAATAATCTTGTTTTGGTTTGAATGTTTCTTTGCAGGTGCGAGTAAAGTTTGAAGGAGAATCAGGTCTTTAGATATGGGACAGCACTACACAATCACACAAACTTTTCATGAGCTGCTTTGTGCTTGTATCACCCAAACCCTGCCCACGTCCCTGGATTCTGCTGCAACACAGAGTGGCAGCAGCAGCCTGCGCCTGCTGGGATGTAGCCTGGTGGTTCCTCAAGAAGAATTTGCTCCATGAACAGATTTAGAGTTGTATCTACACTCAGATCTGTCTTTTTGTAATCTACACCTTGAGCAAAGCTATCCTTAATCCTTAGGAATCCAAAGGCTTGTAGGGTGAAACGTTAGATTTGGGCAAGTTGGGGAAATACACAACATGAGTCACTCGCAATTCAGAGCGCTCACTTTTGCTTTAGAACTTGCCATAGGAAACACCAAAATATCAATTTACTGTCATTGGAAACTTCAATTGTGTTTCTAGCTTGAATTTGTCTAGCTTCCAGCTTTTCTAATCTAATTATTACACGGTATGACAAGATCCAGGGTCCTTCATTATGAAGCTACCTAAAACGGTGAGCAAGCTGTCTCTTAACCTGCTCTCTGCTGAATTAATTAGAACGTGTTTCTTAATCCAGCTTGCTAGCTGGCAAGTGTTACAGGCTTCAAATCATTCTCACAGGTCTTTCATAAACCTGCTTCAGTTTTTTAGTGGTTTGTTTTTGTTTTTTTGGGGGTTTTTTTTGAGATGCAGACCCTGGAACACGACAAAAGCAGCCTGTTCAACTGCAGACTGATCAGTATGTATTTTAAGAGAGTTTGCTTTCTCCAGGATTTACCTAGAACTCTCTTCAAACATTGAGTAAATTCTGCAAGTGACAGGCACTTTAGATTTTTTTTCTCCCCCTCTCTTTTATTATCTTGCTTAAGTTATTTAAAACAAACTCATTTCAATGAAGTGGCATTAGAGCAGATCAGAAGATCTGATGCAGTTACAGAGATAGCTGCTTAGCTGGGCTACTAGCAAGATTAAAAAAAAGGGCAGAAAACTTAACTTGAAACAAAAGGAGAGAGAAAATAAACAAGAAAAAAATCCTTGCACAAATACTACAGAAATAACAAAGTGCTTTCAGGGTGGGTTACAATTGTGAGTTGTAACTCAGTCTCTGTTACTCACCCTGTCCCCAGCCAGGGCTCTGGGTTCCTACTGCCTGTCTGCAAAGCCCACAGGGGAACATCCCCCTGCTCTGGAAGCTATAACCAAACCCTGGTTTGGCCAAGGGCTTGGCCTTTTGCTTCACTCACCAGATGAACCCAGACCTGGTTCTTGCTCTCAGGTCCACACCTCTACTTAACGGCTTTTTTATTCTTCCCATGGGCTATTCTAGACCTGCAGCCTAAGCCTTCACTGGCGGAGGTATGCAATGTTCTCAGCCATCCTGGCTACTACCCACTCCCCTTTGCATTCCTCCTTCCTCATTATTTCAGACATTTTGGCCTGGAAAAATGTTGATTCCCTTTTTACCGATTCTCTCCTGCTTGACCTTGCTGATGTATCACAGTCTACTCTCTTGACTGAGTTGGACCGCCTGAGAAGGTGGCTGACCTGAAAGACCATTTGGCAACCAGCTAGCCTTTACTTGAACCACCTAGAAGGTCCTTTTCCCAACTCTGTTAATGCACTTCAGCCAGTGGCTCCTAACTAGACGTGCCTCAGCAGCTCTTGGAGCAGGACCAGCAGACGGGACTCCCTGCCCCTCTCCAGGAATCTGCCCCATGAGATCCTCTTGTTTATCTTCTCCCTGGCTTCTCAACAGAGGCTCAGCATCAGCAGAAAGGAGGGAGGATGCTTCAGCCTAGCTGGGTGTCTGGCCTGTAGGTCAAGGCACATTGTGAAGGTCCAGACCCACCTGGGTGTGTAAGGTTCATTATTGGTACCACCCACCCCAGGAGCATGGACCAACACGTTGTGCAGATGGAGAGTGCCTGTTGTGCCCCCTCTCACCTCTTCCAGAGAGCTGCCAACAGAAACAGCCCTGGGTTCAGCATCTCCAGATATGCCCTGGGATTTAGCTTGGAGCCCATGGGATTTCCTCCTGGGGCATCTGCCCAGCCTTCAGCCACAGCCTAGAACAGGAACTACCTTTGTCTCCAGAGAGCTGAAGCACCTACTTCCATAGATACAAACACTCAGAGATATCTTGCTCCCTCCACTGATAAGAAAGAGGTGCCTAGCTTAGCTGTACTGAATCATTCTGCTCTGTCTGGGTTCCCGCAGAACCACCCAGATGTCCACCCAGAGCCAGTGGTGAGATGATAGCCCCTTGAGATGCTCAAAGCACATCCTGAGCTAAAGCATGCACCAAGCATTGCATTGCTGTCGCTAGAAGGGTAAGTGAATGACACTTAAGTTAAATGTGTAGACACTCTTAATACTGTTGCATCCTATCAAATATCCTTCTCACTATATATAACGAGCTCTGGGAAGCTTTGAACATGTGTTTCTTTATAGTATACTGCAGTTATTTCTGTCTCAGGTTAATTACAGCGAGGAGGAAACAGAAAAGCTTGTGTATGCTTTTAAAGTTGGCTGCAAAGTGAAAGTATTTACCTGCTAAAATCCCCTTCAAATAGCACTAAAACGACAGGGCAGAGGGTATGAAAACAACTGCATTTGCTCTGTTATCCAAACACTTCCTGATGATTACAGGGTGTTCAACACAAAGGGCTGTGATTTAGAAAGGAAATTGCACTCCAGTGAAGGATTTACTCATCTGTGATGATATTTATAATCCACACTCTCCTAGCTAAAAAGGATCAACCTGCACTTCGATAGGAAACGTGGAGAGTAGAGAGGCCAACAAATGAGATCGGCATGACAGGATGTGTTTTGAAGCCCTGACCTATTCCCAGCTCTGTCTCTACTCTCTGAGTAACTTTAACAAAGCTTTTTCTCTCTCATTGCTGCTGTCTTCTACAGCCTTGCACTTTGCTACAACCATTTTCTCCTCCACAGTATTTGAGGCTGGGAGCAATGACAGTGCTCTGCTGAGATTTATCTGCAAAGCAGCTGTAGTCTGCAGCTCACAAACATAAGCCAAAACCCCCAGATACCTTGTAGGCATCAGAGGGAAGGGCAGAGGGGACAGCCAAGTCCTGCCACCGTAACAGAGAACTGCTAGTCAGCAAAAGCAACATTTGCTCTGCATGGAGAGGACGAGAATTACAACTGCTGCTTGAAAGGTAGTTTCATACACGTGTCGATGAGTGCAGGCAAAATGACTTTGGGGGTGCTCTGAGATCATACTCTCCAGTCCTACAAAGAGCAGGACAGACACAAAGGTCTGCAGGCGCTGTGGTGTGAGCCACACTACCCAAACCCACATGCTCCTTAGTTGGGGTTCCAGTTCACGCTGCTGAGCCAGTTGTTTCATTTAGTGGGAAAAGTATCTGTTTCCCCTGGTGCAATATTTTGCCTTTTTAAAAGTTTCTACATGGTGTTTTCAGATCAAAGCCCTCAGAGCTCTTTTCACAGTCCCTCCATGGAGTGAGCAGGAGGGATGTCCATTTCCAAGGCGTTGCTGTTTTCTGGTAGCCAAGATGTTTTGCCCACCTTCAGCCAAACACCAGCATATTTTCACTGGGAGAATGCCAGCAGGGAATCCAGATACAAAAAAAAAAAATATTTCCAAACATTTCTCCAACAGCTGTAAATTTTTTCTTAATGCAGGATGCTAATAAAAGCCAGGTTACACCAAAAACACTGCCAGACTAGTGCTACTGGGAGGTGGGTTTTTTTTAAGCTACACCAAAGGAAAAATGTCAGCATCCAACTTGCTCATTACTTGAAGAAACAGAAGCATACTCCTGCCTTCACCCTGTCCTGGGGGAGCTCAAATCAGATGTGAAGGCCATGTGCTGGATGTAGGAATGTTTGTTCAATCTCCTATTCCTTCTCCAGTTTTTCCACTATGAGTCCTTGCACTCCTGACATTGCATTTTGCTGACCGTAACCACAAGGTTTTGTTTTATGAGCTGTTATACTAGGAAAATGGTATTCTTTGCACCCTATTTGTTAGAACTTGTTTGTGACAGAAAAAGATCAGTAATTAATCACTCCACAGTTCCTAGCTCCACACAGCACCCCAAGCATGAACAGCCTTGGGAGTAGAAAAATGAACCCAGCCCCTACTCTTGGCAATTTGATTCCAATATAAAGCATACAAAGGAACAATGATGGAGAGGGAGGGTTTCTTTCAGCTTCCTCCACACCTTCTTTCTCTCCCCAGAGTCTTACAGCATACCTGAGTAGGTGTTTGTGTGCAGCTAATTGGCCTGAAGAACAGTATATCTTCAACTACCCATTGACTGATGAAGTGATTGAAACAAGATGCTAATTTTAACTGTTCAGCTCAGCTATGTCAATATTGGCTTGCTGGGAAGGGGAGTCATGTCTGCTGAGCCCAACTACCAAACAGCTCCTTGCAACAGATCCAGCTGCCAAAGAAACAAACCAACCTACCAACACAGCCAGGCACTGGAAGGTCAACTGTTGTGTCCTTGATATATAAAAGACATGAGCTGAAGGTATGGATTGCTAAAGTATTGCTGTGCAGACTTGCACGCATTAATAAAAGCACACACACTGCTGCAACATGAAGGTAGGGGTGGATCTTGTGCTCCATGCTTCTGTATCCTTTTCTAGGCATAGGTGTGTTGTTGGTCATGTTAATGATGTTGAAACAGTATGGAAGCAAATAAGATAAAACCTGACTAGTGCCATCAGTCTCCCAGCAAAGCAGAGGGAAGGCATACAGATATTTTTTTGAAATGTGCTTTACCAGGAGAAACAATCAAGGTTTCCTTGGAATGTCTAAACCTGTTCTGAAACCAACCTTTGAGTATTGATGCTGGTTACAGATCCATTAAGTTGCCATATTGGCTGCACTAGACCTAAATTCAGTTTTCTGATGAAGACCCAGTGTCACGGTGGGTGCAGTGCAATGGGACATGGAACACAAAGGAAGAACAGAAATCTGGATCCAGAATTTCATCTCATACTCTTACAGTTTTGCTGGTACAACATTTAGATAGTTACTTCAGCCCTATGTCCCCATTTAGACACCTGCGAAACAGGCATAAAACTTCTTTGCTGGGTACTAGGACTTAATTAAATCATTCAGGGAGTTAGAGGAGAACATTTTAAAATAAAAAGAGTGATCTAATTCACTAGAAAAGAACATACTCCTACCTTTCTACCAGGTGGTCCAGGGAACCCAGTCAAACCAGGTAAGCCCACGTCTCCCTGTAGGAAGCAAGCAAGTTGCATTAGTTTTCAGCAATGTTTTCCCAATGCCTAGGGTACTGTTGCTGAAATAATTTGGTGACAATAGCAGCCAACTATTGATAATCCTGATTCTAATCACAACTTCTGAAAAACTGACTGGATAAGAAGTGTGGATTTAGACATCATCTCTGTTAACTGGCTCATATAAATAATGAACCCAGTTAATTAACGGCAGCTGCTGCTAGAGTCCAGCTTTTTGCCAGCAGAATAAATGTTTTTGGTTTTTTTTTCAATGATCTCATTCAGTCACATGCTTCATTTGCCTTTTGATAGGCATCTGAATCGCCAAGGCAAGAAAATTTTAGCTTTTAAATGCAACAAGAACAACAGATACCTCCTGCCAAATCCTGTGATTGTGCTCACACTCTGCTACTGCACTGGCTCAGCCCACGGCTCCAGTTCAGATGGTGCTGATGGTATAATGATTTAACCTGCCCATATGACATGGATTGAACCTTTGCAGGCTGCTGGTGGGAGAGTTTTTTCAGTGACCTGTACTTTTGAAAAGGGATTGCATCACATCCCAGCTGGCGTACCCACATCATCATAGGAATGGAGAAGCACTTTGCTGTGAGACCTCTCTAACACCCAATCCCTTTGTACAAGCCCATTTTGGCCTCCTTTGATTAGGATCAAAAAACCCTTTAGAGTCTCTAACCCTGTGCTGTGCCTTCTTACTGAAAATACATTTGGAATATCTAGCTTGAAAATTAGGCATCACTCCAAACTCCTGCTGGAAACTCCTTGTTTCTATTAAAGCTAACAGGAATAAAGCCTTGTTAACATGAGCTAAAAGTGATCTGGATCTCTCCCTTTCTTACACTGAGCATGCTTGCAAGAAAACAGTTCCAGACTCTGCGGGTAGATGATTTCCATGTGATGCTATTCCGATGCAGTGTACCAGAAATTTCAAAAGGCATCTCGTGCTGTTAAGTTAAAAACATCGTTTCAGACTTGGCCTTCTCAATGTCTTCTAGCGTCACCCTCCATCTTGTATTTGTGTGGCTTGCTGTGCTTCTGGAGGCATCTGGTTTCAAATGAAGGGTCTAAGTTCTTCATGGCTGATGCTTTCTATTAGCTGCACATTTATAGCAAGGCTTATGATGAAACGGAGAGAACCAGGCTTCTTATCCCGGACATGAGTTATGAAGTACTGTGCAGGCACCACTGAAAGAACTAATTGAGGTAGATGTTGTGGAGCCCTGATTGCTCTACTATTCATTTCTAGACTTCTGTGAGGCCTTGTTGCCTCAGTGAAAATTGCTCAGCTATGAAACAGCAAGAAATGGGAGCTGTAATTTATTGAAAAGGATTAGCAGAACTCTGATCTTTAACAGTTGCTAAATCCAGAAACCATCTACACTCACCCATTGTGTGTGCTGTGTTGACTTGAGTAGAACTTGGTGGAAAGGGTTCTGGTTATCACACAGCAGGGTCCGTGTGTTGGCAGTGCAATGGTCTGAGAAGCCTCTCTTTCTCCACCAGTGGGACAGCAAGGCTGCTCTCAGAGTAGTGATCTGCTGTGGGCTGAGTACGTCATGTGAGGCAAAGCACTGTTTCTCAGCTCCTCAGCAAGAGCATCCTTTCCTTTGCCTTTGAGATTTTTATTGCTTACACTGGGGTTGCCTCTTTCTACGGCTGCATGCTCAGAGCTGGCAAGATGTGCTGTGTCTCATATGCGCTACTTCAAATATTTAGCTTAAGTAGCCACATGCTTGCAGCAGCAGGGACTTAAATTTGGGCTGCAGATTGTGCATAAGATGGATAAACATCTGGACAACAAAAAGCTGTGTCAGCACACACTTCAGTGCGCTGTGGTTGATACCTTAGCTAACTCTCTAGTCCTGAATCTGGGGTCTAAATCTGAATTTTCAGTCCTAAGTCTACTGGAGTAGCTGTGACGCTTGTGGCTGCAGTATGGACTCTCTCCATCCTGTATGCACAGGGCTTACAGCACACTGGGGTCCTGATGCCTGGGCACTCTGGGCAACTTCTTACCTTCTGGCCATTGCGAGCTTTTCCAGGCGACAGCCCAGGATCACCTTTCTGACCCTGAAATGAAAAACTTTAATTAATGACATAATCCAAGGACCCAGTCCACAGATGTGGTTCTACTTGCACCAAGCCTCTAAATTAGAACAACATTTTGGTTTATCTCTGTCTTGCCATGACATCCCAAACGTATTAAAGTCCCTGGGTGTAACTGTTTTGCTGGGGCTGGTTTTGGTGAGTGATTGCTGCTGCTGAAGCGTTGAGTTTTAAATAGTATTTGACAGTATTAAATTGACTAAAGAAAAGATAACTGGAAGAAGGCAATGTCAGGACTTTTGATACTTATTAGACTAGACAGCTGTGATTTCTTCCTTGTCTACAAGTACCATCACAAAAATAATTACCAAGCCTATTACTGTAGCTAAACCATCCTTCTTAACAACTTGCTAGTTGCTGTTGCTTTTTTAACTGTGGGGAACAGATAAAACTGCAGAGAAAGTTACACTAATTAGACACTACCAGCAGCCAGAGCAATTGTGAAGCTTTCAGGCTGGCAGAAGAAAGAGGCACACTTTATGTTAAGTGGCAGTATTCTTTATTTTCCTTTTTAACAACCGTGATGAGAGAAATTACAATTTAAGACTGTGATCTTCTGATGAACACAGGCTGGAATTTCATCAAAATTTGAACATCTAATTCTAGTAGATTCCTTTGAAAAATCACAGTCTGAATTCTTAGAAGGTGGAAAGGTGATGTGTGCAACTAAGGGGGTGAGAGACAGATGTAGGAAAAATTATAAGACATTTGAAGCACACCAGATTCTTTTGGCAAGGGGGAAGTAAGGCTTAGCACACAAAGAAGCTTAGGTCTGTATAACATCTCTTCTGATACCATTAGGACACAGGTATCCCAGTATCCATATCCCAGGCCATTTAACACCCCTGGGATCATAAACAAGTTACAACCTCTGTGTGCCACATCAGCAGCACGGGATTCAAACCCAACCACCAAGCACAGGACAGTTGTGAGGGTTAATTAATGGTTGTCAAGGAAAGCGCTTGGAGGGAAGGTGAGACCCTACAAAGGAGCAATGGTATTTATTAACTGGCATTTCTCATTAGCAGCACAAACGTCTAGTTACAGCTAGCTGAGCAGCTTTTTCATGCAGCCTCATGGTGACTACATTCGACACCTACTTCCCACCTTTCACAGAGTGTAAATCTCCCCTTCTCCACCATCCACCACAAGCTGTGAGGTTCAGGGAGTGTGACTACATGGCTCTGGACTGTAGGGAGCACTGCTGATTCAAGGCAGATGCGTCTGCGCAAATTCTGAATGAAGGCTGCCGGGTTTCCAAACAGTACATGAAGTCATGCAGATAATCTTGCTTTGCATGCAGCTGTTATCAGGGCAATTCTCCCGCTCTTTGAGCTTCAGAGAGGTCAGTGGGTGCTATGACTGCTTGGAACAGATTAGAGCAGTCCTCAAGATCACAGAGTATTAATTTCTACTCTGCAAAATTAATTTACTGCAACAGGCAGATACCCACGGCTCTCTAAATCTTGCCATGTGCTCAATGCAATGACTTGGAGCCATGTAAAGAAATATAAACCTCTTACATTTTATCCTGGAAAGCTCCAGATCACATTAGCAAAGAGTGTGCTTTGCATCACGGTTCTGTGTCCAACACTGCTGAGACCATCACACAGGTGAAGAACTCAGCCACAAGTAGGATCACTCTTCACTAAGATTAATCATCAAGATGGTATCAGGGCCAGAGAGAACGGATGCCTGGATGCTGAGGGATTAAATTGTGGATTAATTGCCCAACTCTTCTTGCACAGCAACCACAACAAGGGAATTAGCCTAAGCCTTGTCCATCATTAAGCCACGGCATCTTGCCCACAAGCTTCTCTCTTTCCCATCCCAGCTGACTGAGCCCACTACTCCCTCTTGTAAGGGAAGAAATTGTTTTCTTTTTTTTTTTCCCCCTACCTGGGAGAAATCTAGAACTGTACAATTTAAACACCTCAGCTTTGCAATCCTACTAATAGCATTTTAAACATCAGTGACCCAAACTGATGAGCTATCTTGGAGCCAAACCATTCACTGAAAGGAAAATTCAATTTTTCCTGGTGCTATAACAAGAGCTTTATCCAGAGCAGCTAACTAAGCAAACCACACTAATACCTGATGCCAAAAACCTCCAGATGAGAGAGGCAAACCCAGCTCTTGTAATGGCTTTCAAAAACACACTCTGTCTGACAACTAACCCTCCTCCCAATCTCAAACTCCATTAGAGCATCCTCAGAGATATACCCAATCATTAGCAAAAACACCCCCTCCTGCCCCTCCAGCAGCTTACAGGGCACACAGCCAGCCACAACCCTAGCCCAGCACATGTCTGCAGCCATTTAAGAGGTTATCTACTATAAGCAGTCTTTGCTAACTAGATACAACAGCAATTTTGCAACTGCCAAGGACAACAAACACTGCAAAAAGTGGCAAGAAGCCTCTGTTAAGCAGTTGAGGATTATAAATTTCTGAGAAAGCAGGATGGGCAAAATTCTCAGGTGGCACGAGCGGGTGTAATGCCACTG